ACAAGCGAGCTGATTAAAATGCACCTTAAGGGAGTGGTAAAACTTGTTCCTATGATAAAAAGGGGGAGTGATTTAAAGAGGTATAAAAAGAAAATTACCACAAATATCACCATTATCGTCATCCATCTTAGAGGGGAGGAATGACGGTATGACCTCTAAATTCAAACTGCCCCCCCTTGCAGTTTTGTGTTGATGGGCACAGAAATTAATGAGTGGAGACCAGCGGCAATTCTAATTAGCAGAGGGGATGCTAATTATTTATTCATTATGAACAAAGGGCAGAGGTGACAACACTTGTTGGGTGTGAAAGGGAGGAAGATTTAATAGGGGGAAAAGCAGTGTTGGCTAATAATTTTAGCATTCAAAAATTAACCTAAAAATGGAAAAATGAGCCAAAAGGTGGTTTGTTTTTATTTATTTATGTTTCTGTTGTTAAATAGTTTTTACTTATGACCTTTTAAATTGAAATGTACTTTAAGTGTACTTAAATTAGCCAGCCTGTTGTTCTATTCAATCAATTGGGTCTCACATAAAAATATTAAGTAGAACAACAGTTTTCATTTTTGGCAATGAGTCTTTTCTTAAAGTGATTTCTAAAAATCACGTGAAAGTGACACAGTAACTAAAACAAATAGATTACAAATCTCTCTCTCTCTCTTTTTACAAATTAGTTATGTCTGTCACAATTAAAGTGAAAACGGAATAGAAAATGTCAATTTGCAGCATTACATTTACAACTCTGCATGTTGCATCATACTTGTTATTGCTCTTTTTTTATTATTATAACCATTCACACATGTTGTGTTGAGCTGAATGCAGTAACTCAAGTAGTCTTGAGTGCAAACATTTGTAAATCCTCACATCATAAACAACACAATGCAAAAACAGTGTAAAAGTGAGAGGTTTATTTATATCTTCAGTGATGAATCATCTTTGTAGCCAGATTACAACGTGCCATTTCTTGAAACGCAAAAATGATATTTATGTATTATGTTAACTAACATTAACAACCATTATTACACTATCAAAAATAATGTTTTTTGGTCATTATTGCAGTCCTCCCTAATTAGCCTTTTAAATGTATAATTTCTGTAAAATTTTAATTAGTTTTACCTAGTAACCATTTATAGCAGTGGTCATCAACCATCGGGCCATCAATTGGTGCCGGGCCGCACAATAAATCATGAATCATTTCTGTCTTATATAATCTGGGTCTGAGCAATCTTTTATTTTGAAAAGTCTTTTACTTTGAAAAGTGAGTAAGAAACAGACGTCTTTGGAAAGTTTCTCGTGCTCTCCAGACGCACCGAGTTGAATGAATTTCAAGAATTGTGGCAAGAATTGACCGATCAGCTTCAGCTTGTCTGGAATACACACATTTCGGCAAACTAATTATTTCAGACAAACACAGAACACCCAAACATTGCAGTGCTTTGTCATTTTTTTCCATAATTGAACTTTTCAATCGTTGACCAGTCCAAAGGTTAAGGACCACTGATTTATAGCATTCTGATTACAGTAAGGATACACAACAGTTCTGATAAGTAACAGTAAAACAGTATGTGACATTAAAGTCCGCCTGAGCTAGAGGCTATTGATACTTTTATTTCAGCATGTCAATGTACTTTTATAGGGCTGGGCTATTTTTCTGATTTTTTCGATTAATTCGAATTTACGTTTACAGACGATTTAATTTTGAATCAAATCGAGAAATCTCGATTTTTTAAAAATATATATATTTAATACATTATAATGGCACCAATGTGCTTTTGTTCACTCTGTATGAAGCAGGAAGCACACCAGAAGCACCTCTCGGCACCGCACCGCGAAGCACCACGATTCAGGACGCAGGTCATATTTCAGCCGCGCCACAGAGCCCCGTCTGATTAGTTTCATATTAAATATCATGCGAAAGTGAGCGTCTGATGTGTGATAGTTTAAACTGTCATGTGCGTGCCGTGTCGCTGCGCTTCTGGTGTGCGACCTGCTTGACTGCCTGTTAAAGCGTGAAGTCATGTAGGATTTTACTTATTGAATTAGTCTGAGTCACGTCTGTGTGGATTGTCAAGACATTCCCTCATCAAGTCGATAAACTCGATCTCAACATGTTTGAAGGACGTAAAAGCCTGCCATATGAAAAACCGCGCTGATCTTTTGGTTTGAACACGAGCAGAGGTGAGGGCATGTAGCAGTGAAACTGAAAGTACCCGCCCCCATGACGTCATTTAGCGGACCTAGTTGAAAACTAGACAGATCAGGCAGCATAATACAGAGAGTGAAGCAAAACGCATCAAATGATCGGTGTTTAAAAGGGGAAAAAAGAAAAATAGATTAAATATATTATTTTATATTAGACACACATCTAGTACTTGTTTTTGCTCCTGCTATACATCCACAACTTCACACATTGGGTTAAATTAGGCTTTACAGTTTCCATGTTCAGTCTTTTTCTTCCACTGTATCTTTTTAAGAAAAAGGCAGCAGCTTTACAACCTGTCATTTAATCAGAAGACAAAGTCAAAACCGAGCTGACAGCCAATCTTTCCTAGGCTCAGCAAAACATTAAAAAAATACCTCTGTATTCCTGCAACTGCAATATTTACACAAATATTTCTTATTCAAATCTTCAGCAAGGCTATTTAACTCGTGAATTTGTTTTACACCTTGACCGATTTTTGTATGACATGGCCATTAAAAATACAATGTTCCTTAACCAGATGGTTTAAGTTACTTTTAAAGAGAATGTTACTTCAGTCATGTTGTTGTAATGTTTTGAGAAGACTAGTAACACAATAAAAAAAATAAAAAATAAAAAAATTAATCGAAATCGTGAATCGGTCAAACTTTATAAAAAAAAATAGATTTTTTTTTTTGCCAAATCGCCCAGCCCTATGTACTTCCAACTGAAACTTTGAGTAAGGGGCGGGGCTTTTTGCACATTATTCCCTCACAGCAACCTAACAGCAAGAGGGGCGTGGTAAAGAATATTGTGGCGGGAGATATCAAACTGATGTTAACAGAGAAGGACCACTGCTCTTATCACAGAAGCAAACAGTGAGAATTTGATTTCAGATTATTAAAACAAATTTTTTCTAGTAGATTAACAGCATGGATTAACTGTTAGCCTAAAAAAATAACAATGTGCGCTAGGAAAAAAAAAATGTATTGTAAATTTTGATTTTATACTAATTTTAATGAAGAAATTATGACAAAAAGTATATAATTAATTATTGAGACAATTTCTAGGACAATTTTCATTAGATATATATTGCCTCCTAATAGAAACATGATTATATAATCATGGCTATATATATATATATATATATATATATATATATATATATATATATATATATATATATTTAAAGAGTACCCCAAAAATGACTGAAGCCACAAAAACTAGAGAGTCCATCAAAATGACTGTAACCAACCACTGACCTCCAGCGTATTTGTTTTTCTTAGTATGGAAGTCAATGGTTGCAGGTTTCCATCTATCTTTAAAATTTCTAATATAGCATAAATTAATATAGCATTGAAACAAGTAACAACAAGTAAACAAGCAAGTAAATTAAAGTACAAGGTGAGTAAATGATGACTTTATCAATTTATGGGAGAACTATCACTTTAATGTTTATACTTAAACATTGTAACTACAACATGTCCGGCACTAACAGACAAGAAACTACAAGTGATATGCATAGACCAATCTACTGCATGTTTACATAAATAAACTATCAACACAGTTGAACGAAAAGCGTGTGAAACAAGCTGTACATATAACCAGAGCCAAAAGTAGCCTAGCATCCTGTCTGACCTTAAACAAATCTTCTGGTTAAGGCATGTTCAAACATCCTGGTGAAGCGAAACATTTCTAATGGTCTTTCTTTTAGTTACTGGCTCTATCAAACAAACAACCAAGCCTGAGGATTATGAATAATCAGGGCGTCAACTAGAGAGGACAGTAACAATCAAGACAGTGAACAGAAGTTGCCTAGGACGCATGAAACTAATGGGCAACAACAAAAACAAACCAGTTGCATCAGCAAACATCCACACTTTAAACCAACTTCCCCGAGCTCCCTCGAAGGCTTATCTTGCAGAATTTGGAGATCAATATTGAATATGAAACATCTCAAGGGCAGAAGTTCTATTTCCAGCCTCCACTCCAGACTGATGTGCATAAATGGGAGGTCTACTTGCACATGGAATGACTCAGCCGGTCTTAAATAATTTTTTTTTCTGATGAACAAGTGGAAAGATAAAAGGCAGAGAGCATCTGCTTCAATCTAGTCAAACTGAGAGATGTGAAATTACATGCATGTCCTCAGGCCTCTATGAACTCTCCTTGAGATTGTGCAGATAATTCTTATCGCAAAGTTCTTAAATTGAAATTTTGCCCATTTAATTGGATTATGCTAAAAAAAAAGCAAGTAAGCACTATGGATAAGACTGCCACGAGCCCTAGTCTGCTTTTTGAACAAATTGAAAACACCCTTTTCATTTTAGAAACAAATTCAGACACAAATTCACAGCCTAATATCTTGAAACATACTTGGAAGTGATTCTTCGGAGATCTGCCGATTGTGATGCAAGAAACAGAGGACTGAAACACCGCCTCAATATTGGCCCTCCTCACAGCTTAGATGCCATGTTAAAAATTTCTCATGAATACCAAGCAGTAAAGATCTGATTAATGACTGAGCGCTGTGTAATAGCGTCAGTCACCGCGGCTAATCAAGAAGAATGCCACATGATTAACCCTTATTGAGAACTGTTCCTCAGGCACAACACAGGAAAAATTAAAGTCATACATCTTCAGAATTCACTAAGGGGAGAATGTTCCATTCATCTCCTCCATCTACAGAGTTAGCTAGCACGTCCTACAGCTGAATATAAACCAGAACACTTGACTTTAGAAACACATTTGAGATCGCGCAAGTCAACTTTTTAGACAATACATCATGGTAATTAGTGTAAAAGAGACACAAGGTGTGACTTACCAATGCAAACGTCGATTTTGCCCTTAATGGCGGCTTCATGGAGCGGAGTGTAATTCCAGTTGTCTCTGGCATTGGGATCTGCTCCCTGGCAAAGCAGCAAACTGACCACCTCCGCATGTCCGAATGAACAGGCATTGTGCAGCGGGATTAAGCCTCCATCGTCTCTTGCATGCACATTCGCCCCCGTCTGCAGGAGATGCTCCACAACGTCTTTCCTTCCAAAACCTGTGAAATAACAATACCACTACATCAAGGTTTCTTTTTTTTTTTCCTCTACAAGGTTAACAACATGCGTTTCAGTCATGCACGTTTACCAAGAGTATCATTTTATGCTTGTTCAGCAGTCCTCTCGATAGACTGTTGAATCTTATCTATGATTTTAGTTGTGATATGACAACCAGTTTCAACAGAAAAAAACTGCTTTATTTTGATTTGCCAGTATAAGACAAAGCAACCAGTTTCTTGCAAAGCAACATAATAAAGATTAACATGAGAATAAAAACTATTTATTAATTTTAATTAGAATTTGCAATCCTTAATATGCCTATCCTCTTGAGTAATTCCCATATGCAACTAAAAAAGACAACATATCAGCTTTGCATATTCTTTTACAAGAACTCCACTTTTTCAGAAAATATCCTCATTTTACAAGTCATTTAAGTGAACAGTTGAGTTTTGCTAGTTTTGAGTCTATTGAACCAATTTCCTGGTCTGACAGAAACATTTTTAGCATAGCTTAGCAAAACAGGGTCTCTACAGGTTTCATCAAGTCAAATTAAGACTTTTTAAGACCTTTTTAACACTATTATGAATGAAATTTCAGACTTACACAAGGCGAAATACGAAGGATTTTTTTTCTAATGGCCCAGTTAAACCATTAAAAACAAATGTTATTGTAAGGAAGATACTTAAACCATAATAATAGATAGAGTTGGTAAATAAGAGTTAATAAATAAACTTCTTAAAACATTTATTGAGATGGAAAATTAAGACCTGTTTAAAATGATTTAAGGCCTGCAATTTAGATTTTGAAATTTAAGACATTTTAAGACTCCACGAACACCCTGATATATCATTTAATTGGACTAAGCCATTGGCATCTTGCTAAAACGTTTTTTTTAAGAGTTTAATAATTTTCCTATTCAAAACTGGACTATTCTAAAGTATAATTGCTAGCCATATTGACCTCGGAAATAGCAACTAGGCATGGACCGGAATAAGATTCTAATGGTACGATAACCTTGGATAGAATATCATAGTTTCACTTTTTTTACTTTGAACACAATGGCTGTATCCGAAATCACAAACGTCCATACTGTATAGTATGCCAAAAACATTATGTGGCCCAAGTAGTAAATCCGAATTCACAGAATACAAAAAAAAGATAGTATGCAGGAATTACCCGGAGACCTACTACTTCCTGTGAGATCCGATGGATGCTATGCTATTCCATGATGCACTGTGAGAGAATTCATAAATGGGACTGAAGTGGTAATGTCATGTGATAAAGACAAAACGCCTCTGTAATACGTCCGAGCTTCATTCATACTACTGACATTCACACAGAATAGACTGTATTTTTCTATCGAAGTAAATTCAAATGCAGTACCTTGACGTTTCTAAACCGCGGTACACCTTGAAAACTGTTATCGTCCCATGCTTAATAGCAACTTTATGTTTTCTGCGATTCTTCATACACAATGTAACTACTGAAGAGTCAACCATGCGGGATGCTAATGGTCTAATTTGATTCAATGATCTATGCTAAGCTAAGCTAAAAGTGCTCCCACCAGCCCCGAAGATTGGATGGATGGACTCAAAAATAGTCAAACCCAACTGTTGTAAAATAAGCAAAAAAGCAGGGTGCTCCTTTACTTACTTTTACTAACAAATTACTTTGCGCTTGCTACATTCGCTAAATTGTCACTATCATGTGCCTTACGAGTAGCAATTGCATTGCTTCAGTGCCACTTGCTTCACAAATCATCTATGCCCTCAAGAGACACTTCAGAGTCTCGCCTATTTTTAGTTTTTCCCATATAGTAAGGATGTGTAATTTCAGATGCAACCTTGGTGTAACTGAACAACACTATTAAACTGCATGGCAGGAGCACTTTTCCCCTTTGCGTGGACACATTTCCCACTGCAACAGGAAGTTGGGGCAGGGCATATCAAATGGCTCATCCATTTGTCTTTAAATAGCCTCTAAACAAAAGCACATGGACTCAAATCTGCAAAGCTGTATTTCAGATTTTATGCAGGTCTTATAGTTATGGTTCACACTAAAAAAAAATATTAAAGAAAGCTGGAATTCTGTAACCATTAATAAAGACTTCTTCAAAATATCCCTTGAGTTCAACAGAAGAAATAAACTCATAAATGTTTTAAACACTAGGGAGAGTAAACTGAGTCAATTTATTTTTGGGATGTGAACTATCCTTTGAAAAAGATATCCAGCCATTCATGATCATTAGTTAAGAATTTACAAACAATCACATATACATATAATACTAGCACATGTAACTTTGCAATACATATTTTGTATATATATATATATATATATATATATATATATATATATATATATATATATATATATATATATATATATAATTTACCTAGCTGAGATTTATAGTAATGTATAAACTATATGTTTATTTATAATCAGATCAAGATTTTCATGAGCTTTAAAAATGAATGATTTTTTTTTTGTTGCTTTGTATTGTTAGTTAACAGTGCAATAACTTATGCCCATAACTGTTATTTTTTCCTTTAAACAATGTGCTAATACGTGTGAATAATAATTTATATCAATAAGTAACATATTGTTCAGTGTGTTAACTATCGTTAGCTGATGGTAACAAATGAATCCTGTATATAAAGTGCTAATGAATTCACTTATTTTACAGGTTCAGTGACTGCAATAACAGACAACTGTTAGTGGAATATTTGTGACAATTACTTGCAAATAATATTTATTTTCACAAAAGTAAACAATAATAATAACGCTTCTTCATCACCAAATACTGCACTCATGTTTAAAAGCCAAGTTACACGTGAAGGTGCGGTTTCACTTTATCCAACTATTGTGTGATCCAAAGTAAACTCATTTTGGACATTCGAGAACAAACTGTAACTTCAATATAATGTTTATTACCTGTATCGATCGCCTCTCGATGTGCCGCGGTTCATTCAAGTCTATATGTTGAACTTTATTCACTTTCGGCAGCGCAACAAATGAAAACAAACACGAGCGGACAAACACAGATCGCGGAGTGGTTAACTTTCTACCAACGTTAACGTTAGATGTTAAATTATTGTCCTGTTAACATTAGATAACTTGGCCAAACTCCACTTTATTGCCCCTGTCCCCGTTTTCTTTACCCTCGACTTGTTTATGCAGCGACCTAAAGCTAAAGCGTCTACCTGGCCGCTTCCCAGGTCGAGATTGATCGCAAACACGTAACGTTAAGTATTTGTGTTTACCTGCAGCGAAGTGAAGCGGGGTGGACTTGCGCCCGGCCATGTCCTTCGCGTTTACATTGACCGAATCCACCAGTCTCTTCACCCGAGACACGTCCCCATTCCTACAGGCCTCAAACAGCTCCCTGAAAGCCCCACTCGTCCCGCAGCCGCTGCCTCCAGGACTGGCACTACCGGAGTCGGGAGTGGAGCCCGCACTACTGCCCCCGCCGGTGGTAGATGAGCTAGTGCTGCTCGAGCTGGAGCTGCTGCTGCTGGTGCTGAGGAGCGCAGCGGGGATTTCAGCACTGAGCTCCGGATCCCCGATGCTTTCTGCCTCCCCGCCAGCCGCTAAACCGCCGGTGTCGGTGGGCGATTCTGGAGGTGAGAGGGGACTGGAGTCAGGTCTTTGTGGAGAGGATAAGTTTTGTTGTTGTTGTTGCTGCTGGGCAGTGCGACGAGACGTCGCCATTTTCGCACACAAATCCCCCTCTGGCAGTGAATATAGTCGGGGAGAACTTCCGGGAAGTGTCATAGTAAAACTTCCGCTTTCAGACAAGTGGAAAACTGGATTCAGTTTATCTTTTTCTTATTGTTGCACAGATGTTTAACAATCTTGTTAAATCAAATGAACTATAAGAGATTTAAATTGGAAGAGAAAGGGTACTGATAAGTCAAGTAGCAGATGACACTGCGCTTAAAAAATGCTTCTCAAATCCAGTCAGCCATCGAAATTCTAGAATTTTTTAAGTGCCTCGGGCCCTTTATTAATCTGGGGTCGCCACAGCAGAATGTACTGCCAACTTATCAAGCATATGTTTTTACGTAGCTGCAACTCATCAATAGGAAACGTGCAAATTTCACACTCATACACTATCATGTCTTAGGACTGTGGGGGAAACCAGAGGCAACATACAAACTCCACACAGAAACGCCAACTGACCCAGCAGAGGCTCAAACCAGCAACCTTGCTGTGAGGCAACAGCACTATACTGCGCCACTACGTCGCCCCTAAGTGTGAATTGTTTGCCTTAAAGAGTTGTTATGATAAATCCATCTGTAATATTCTTATAAAGGATATCCCGAGCTATTTAGGAATAGCGATTTTTTAAAAAAATTCTCACTAAATCTCACAAAATTTCAATTCGATTATCAAAAAAGTCCAAAACAGGTTTAACATCTGCTTTGTTGGCTAAAGCAGAGAGTATCTATAGACTTAATTATGTTGCGTCCACAATTCATTCAGATTCTAAAATTAATAAGATAATTGATCAAACAATGTTAAACTTTCTTTGGAAAACCGTGTGCATTAAAAAGAAATCTGTGATAGTCAACTCATATAGGAAGGGAGGTCTTGAATATTTAGGTTTTTCTATAAAAAAAAAATACTTTGAAGATTAACTGGTTGAAGTACCTGAAAAATCTGTCTTCAATGTGGAACATAGTTTCTAGTAGAATTTTTGACCAGCTTGGTGTTTTTTATTTGTTTCATTTTGTTTTTCATTTAGCAAAAAGAATAACAATAAGAACATACATCTACTAGTCCAAAAAGAACTGGTCAGTAAATTATATCTAAATTTATAAATGATAAAGTGCTGTCAAATTTTCTTTTACTGTATGAATATGTTATTATTATTATTTTTAACTATGATAAGAAGTTGGAAAATGAAGCTTATGTTATTACTCTTTTGATTATACCACGTTTCACATCCATCAATGTAACTTTAGCAATCAGAAACCTCTTGTTTTAGTGGTACTTAAAGAACTAAATATTTCTATAAAATACCATTAAGGAGAGTACAAACAAAAAAAGCTTAAGTTATTGTAAATTAGCAAGCCTAGCAATATTTGTCATTTTTTATTTATTTGTTATTTTATTTTGTTTATCCTATTGAGTTTTTGTACTTTCATATAATTTTATTGTGCTTTTTATATATTTTGTGTACCTTTGGCATTGTTTTGTATGTATTTATTTATTTTTTTAATTGGAAATCTGGATAATTAATATTATCATATTTTTATATTATCATGAAATCAAACAAAGAGATTTACCAAAGTCCTAAGAATTCCCAGCACTGACAATGGTTAATTCCTTTAGAATAAGAAAAATATCTCATGAAAATTAAGGATCCAAATGAGAGTTTTCATCAGAGAATTTTTTTCTTAGTCTAGAGAGTTTACTTATTTAATTATCTAAACTACTTTTCCATAATGAACCTATTGTGAAAATAAAAGGTTAAAATAGATTTCAAGAGCTTTTAACCACCAGTTGACTGACCCATATACTGTTTTCTGATCTTCTGGACTATCTGTAACTGTTTCTAAAGTGCATGTAGCTAAGCTTACATAATATGCATAGCAGACCAACAGCTGTTGCTGAGATGACTATGCATTTAGATCAATGGTCAGACCGGACAGAGGAGCTAAAATAAGCAAAAAACTTTAATCAGTAAAGTGTTTCATATTTTGTTAAGGAAAATGATTTTTGAAAGACTACAATAGAAACTTTATTAACTTTTGGAAGCGCAACAATTAAAAACAAACACGAGCAGTCAAATAAAGATTGTTGAGTGGTAACTTTCTACTAACATTAGATATTAAATTATTGTCCTATTCGCCAACTTGACCTAACTTGTAGGCCCATGGTCATACTTGTTAATACTTGTAGGCCTATATTTATGTGCATTTTTTGTTTTTTTTTAGAGGATCAACCTATTTTGGTCTACAAAATCAAATCCAAAGACATGGTTCAAAGTCTGTCTTGTGTCTATAAGCATCTGCTTTTTTTTAAAAAAAAGAAAAAATCATAGTTACTCATTTCCTTGACCCTTATTGGGTAACTCAACCATCACTGATCCAATATTGACATAACAAAACAGCAGATTCATCTTCCCTAACTGTCTGTTTTAGTTGTTGCTACAATATTTATCATAGGCTAGTGAAAGTGATGACCTCACCGCTGCCCCGGGATGAGTGATTTTTCTCTTATTTAAATAGAAATATATTAAGTTATCTGAGCTAATATTGTACTAAATGGATATTGGCAGTTCACCTTTAATGGATTTGAAACGTTTGATGACAGTTATGCAATGACAATGTTTGCATGAGAATCACAAACTCTTATCACACTGACACTCCAACATTGTTTACAAAGTTGTCAGAGTTTTTCCTCATGTTCATAAGTAATGAATGTGGTCAAATCATATCTATCCACATCTGATGCAAAAAATCAAACTGAATATTTGAGATTCAAAATGTAATTTAATCTTAGAAGTTTTTTTTTTTGGATAAATGATAGTAATGAAAATACTAAGACATTGTCTCATCTAAAAAGCAGGGATTCAAACATCACAAAATAAAAGTGCAACCGCAAGTACTAATTATTTGTCACTTCAAATCTTTGATCTCTATCTTTAAACCGCTACTCATTTGTCAGCTAGATGTTTTTTTTATAGTAAAACATGAAACAATTTAATATAATCACTCACATTTTTATATATTTTATTAAGAACAGATAATAATATAAATTTTTATTGAAATATGTTTCACTGAATGATTATGGAACAACATTGCACATTTAGATTTTTATTCTCACACTTTATGTTCCTTTAAGCTTCAAGTTTATAAACTTTACAAACTTTTAGTTGTTAGGCTGATAACTTCATAAAAAAGTGCATCAATTTGTGCTGTAATGTTATGTGAAACAAAAACGTGTTATATATTAGGAATGCGCTCTACAGCTGCTCCATTTCTGTCCACTAATGAGTTTTGTCACCCTCTTCTGTCACTCACAGAGGTTCATAAATGACCCCCTGTTGCCAAAACACAAATTCTGAGGTGCCATTCTACATAGGTGTTATATTAGCTGTCAATAAAGCGTTGTTTCCTGTAAACTTATCTGAAAATACTCTTCCAAGTACAAAATTTCCAGTTATTACCTTTCAAAAGGTGACAGTATGTTAATTGCATTTTTGTATTTTTGTCATAAGGATATTTGCAAAATGAATGGCAACAAAAGTATGTTTTCCATCAGACTTGTGTGTACTTATGTTACACTTTTATGTACAGTTGTCATATCTATTGATTTCAGACGACCAAGTCCAAACAGCTGTTCTCCTGTTAACCTTTTCTACGGTCTGTTTTAGATCTCTATTTCACAACACATGTGCTAAAACTGCTTCTCTGTTTCTGCTGATGAGGCTGTTTTTTTCCTCCTATAATGTTACCATGTTGGGTTTCCTTTATCTGGTTTTAACTATGGATGTTCTGGACCATCTGTGCATGATTTGTGGTAGCAATAAGATGAGGTGTAGCAAAGTGTTCTGATGTCTTTGTACTCAATCTGTGGATAATTCTGAATACTAATGATGCTTTTTCAGAAAGAGAGAGAGAAAGAAAAAATAACATTTTTATTAAATACATTTTGTGTCTGTGTTGATTTTAAAACCTGCTGGTATACTTTTCAAATGTATGACTATATGCATAATTTTAAATGGTCAAAATGGTTTCAAGTGATAAAAAGTTTGCATCAAATAAAAATGTTTTTAAAAAATGTTTTGCTAGAAATCATTGACAGTGTTAAGGTAAAAATAATTAATTTACACACAAAAAAATGTTGATCTGGAATTACATCATACTGACATAACCTGACCGGTTTGTGTGGGCTTTACATAGAACAGTGTCTTTATTGAGTACATACAATAGGCTATTAACATTCAAAAAAGAATTAATTAAATTTCATTAAAGAACTTATTAAAATTAGATAAATAGATACAAAAACTCATTTTACTGAATTCCTCAGTAATTAACAGCCACTTCTGTCGTGGTAAAGTTAGGAATTTGTACTTTCTCCTCAATAATATATAAATTGAGAAAAGTATTGTTTGCCAATTTAAATATGGAAATCATATTAGCAGATAGCCATGCACGGAATTTCAACATTGTTCACAATCATTTAATTATGGTAATTTACTATAATTATGTTTAAAGAGAGCTCATGGTATCCTATATACACCCCAGATCACCCATTGTACTCTGTGTTTTAGCAGCTGCCGTCAGGACGTTGTTTTAGAGTTTGTAATGGTGGCCATTATGTCATTAAATGAGTTCAGCAGGGAGGGAGATGCACCCAAAAAATTATGTATTGTATGTTGTGTGGTAATATTTTGTTGATTTCTACATGGAACTTCGCCTGTGTTACGGCACCTTGCTGCAATTTTAGTTTCCCTGAACGTAATTTAAAAAGTCCTAATGTTGTTTTGAAGTCATACTTACATGCTAATTCAGACCCAACATTCATAGGGGTAAACAATTTAGGAACAAGCTGTCACTGTTTAAAAATGATCAAATGTGCGATTATAAAACCAACTTTACCTCAATTTTATACTATTATGGTTTGAGAGAGAGAAAAAGAAAGCAAAACAAAGTGCGCTGCTGACTGCATTAAGCTAACAAATAGCAAGAGGACTCCATTAGACTCCCATGACAAGTTTCATGTAACTTACTGTGGGAAGAGAAAGCAAATAATTATACATAATATCTAAATATTCTTTCCTGTCGAAACTGTCTAAATAAGCATGCAGTGATGTTATTAAAAGATGGTATTTACCACAGTTTTGAGGGTCAAAACCAGCTGTTATTGCTGACCAATATAATAAGTATTTTCTTACTAGTCTTTGCATGTGGTTTTGACTTTGTCTAGCATGTGATTGGCATGCTGGATACAAATTTTAGATTGATTTATGCAAGTGAAGGCCAGAAACAACTAGACAGAAACCTTGAATGTCAAATACAGACCAGTGACATTAGTACCTTTCCCTGAAAAAACAGTGACCTTCCATGAAATGTGTTCCTGCAAAATAAAAAAAATAAATAATAAAATCTTTCTTTTGTTCCCAGCTATAGCTATAGTATACTGTGACTTTATATCTTACAGTTTCATGTTATAATTGTGCATTTATAAGTTAGCATCTTGAAAAGTTGTTCTCAGAGTTTGAGGTTTGTGTTTCAGTGTTAATTTGAGATATAAACTCAAAATTTTTGGAAATAAAGTAATAATTCTGGGATTACGTTTATTCGCAACTCTAAGTAATAAAGTTTGTAATGGAAACTTCAGAATTGCGAGACGTAAACAATATGAAAAAAACCTTGTAGTAATTCTGAGACATAAACTCAGAATTCAGAGATATAAACAAAACTGCATATTGAGATAAAACTCAGAGATGTAATTTTAGAATTTTCTAATTTTAGAAAGATGACAGAATTTGTAGATTTAAAACCAGTTGTGAGATGTAAAGCCAGAATTGTGAAAGGAAAATGACCTGTGCTATAAATCAAACATTTTGCATTTTTTTATAATAATTATTATTATGATAAATCAATTAGAACTGAGAGAATCAAAGTCACCAATTATCTACAGAATGTTAAAGCATGCAGAGGTTAGTGGGTTCATGTTTAGAGGGAAAAGTGTTGGATATTTTTATAACAGCATGGGGCTTTACAGTCTCGGCCTACTGACCCCCTAGTGCTTTCAGTCACGTGACAGCCATTGATCAGCAAGGGGTGCATGCATGCCCCAGTAGCCGGCCATGATTGGTCCAAACAGGTAGTTCACGTGAACACAGGCTGATCGTCTGCAAAAATGTAATTGTGGTACCGGTAAGCTAAGAAAGTCACTCATGCCCCACGAGGCTTTTACTGAGCGTTGAAGCTGCGTTCACTTACAAGAGACACTGGGCTTGATGAAGAAGTTTGACCTAATTTAAATGCCGTAACACAGGTATGCATTAACTTGTGCTTTTCAGGTTGCTTCTTTGTAATTAATTTAAAACATAAAAGGAATTACAAGTGAATGCACTGCATTGAATCGTGCCCCAGCACGCAGGCTTTTTTAATCTAAGAAGGGAGGAAACTTTATTAAACACTGTCGTGCTCAGGGAAACAGCTACAAACCAGGAAGAACATGACACAAAACGACAAAAATGATATTACGCTTTAAAAACATATGGAAAAACTATATCGCATGCGTTTTCGTTTTTAAAAAGATTCGCCGATTAAAACAGCTGGAGTTGACCGTAGACGAAGGAAGCAGCATGATAAAGCGTGATGGTATTTTGGACCCGGGAGAAAGTTGAAACTGCAAATGAGCTCCAACAGGTGTGAATCTAACGATTTGTTTCATTCATGTTTATTGTGATTATCTACGATATCAATTAAACCACTTTCTTATAAAAATGAAAGGTGAGTTTATCTCGTGCTTTACCTAATCAGGCGGAACAATGTTACATTGTTCCAGACCGTATATGGAAACAAGCTTAGACTTGCTGTGTGGTAAAAGTTTGTTTCATGTAATAGTTGGCTTAAATTAAGTTATATTTCTATATTTGGATGTTTATAAGTTTGTAAAATCTACAATAACTAAAATTACTTGCACCATTACTAAATAAAGAAGACGATTTATGCATAGTTGTGCGTGAATTTAATGTAGTCATCAATAGTTATTTAAACAACTTTAAATCATATAAATGTTCGTTAATGTTAACAGTGTATAGCTTAGTTGTTCTTACAAGTGTGTCCATTATAGGCCATACACCACAATCAATATGAGACTGATACAAGTGCACTGTAAAAATAATGCAACAGCCCTCCACATCTTTCCAGACATGACGTTGTAAGTTATGTAACTCGCTTGTCATTTCATAAACTGAGAGTATTACAGCTCACCTTGTCTCCCAATACTCTCAAAATGTAGGCTTTCATAAAGATATTGTCAATTACTATTAGTAATATATCCTTGTATATAGTCCAGCTTGGCTTATGTGCATATTTTTCTTCTAATGATAACGTTTTATAATTTATGAACACTAGAGGGTGCACACTATCTTTGTGTAGTACAACCTCTCTGGGTTTCAATATCCACTCTCCGGCCTCGAGCTAAGATAAACTTGTTTGACTTGTAGACCCACTTATTGCAGTCGTTTGCGTAATGTTTAATTCTTTCATAGAGTCTATATTAAATCCTAGTTGCTGTGCATAAAGGTTTAATTGCTTCATACTGAGCCTATATGAGTTACTTCATCCTGAGGTACTTTAAAGTATGAGGGTAAAATTTAAATTAGTCATTCATTGGAAGATGTCATCAGCAGTATTCACAGACCAGGGGTGCACTCTTTAAGCTTCTCTTTAGCTTTTTAGCTTCTTTTTGAGGGAAGCTAATTTTTAGGAATGCAAACCCCTCGTGATGTATTAATTTGGTTACTAATACATGTTTTTTTTTATTTCAGTGCACGTAGCTGCCCTCCCAAAGAATCTACCATGCCTATCGAACTGGCCATGTCGCTTTATCTGTCAAGCGATGAGTTCCTGAACCCAAGGGCATCTAAATACAGCAGGCCCTTGCAGCCATGTCTAAACCAGTGTAAAAGCTCCAAACTTAGTTTTAGCTCTCTTAAGGAGCAGTCCGAGTTCAATGGGGTCAGCAGAGCCTTGATGATACCTGGCAGGGCCAAAAAACATGTCTCTTTTGCTGATCACAAGGGCCTCGCTCTGACCGTGGTGAAGATATTCTCTGAATTCGATGACCCCATTGACATCCCAGACAACATCGATAATTTTTTCACCTCTTCGCTGACTGTATCAGAAGGAAAGGACAAGTTAACCCTCGATTTTGACCAGCCATCTGCCGATTACTTGAAATTCCGTCAACGAATAGAAAATGATCATGTCTGTCTCGAACACTGCATGCTTAAGGAGAAATCTATAATGGGCACAGTCAAAGTTAAGAACATTTCCTTTGAGAAGTCTGTTAAGCTTCGCATTACATTTAACACTTGGAAGAACCACACAGATGTAGAATGCCAGTACGTAAAGGACACTTACACCGGCTCAAACCGAGACACTTTTTCATTTGAAGCTAGTTTGCCTGAACAGGTGCCCTCACATGAACGCATCGAGTTCGCTATTTGCTATGAGGTCAATGGTGATACACTCTGGGATAACAACCAAGGAAAGAATTACAGAATCATTCAGTCAGCACTGAGGAAGAGTTCAAATGAATCTAACGGTGGGCATCAGCAATATTCCCAGAGCGACTGGGACATTCATTTTGACCGATATGGCAGCCCCAGATGCTCCCGTGGAATTTTTCCCCATTGGCCAAGCTATGTTGGATATGAAGATATCGGCCCGTATTATTAAGAATCTACTTTTGGCGTGGTCTATCATGCTCGCTTATCCATAAGACATTGTAATGAATGCCACTTCAAAATGACACTTTAAAAAACACAGCAGGTTTGATGTTCTAATCCAAGAACTTGTCGGACTCTGAAGCCATATAGACTCTTGAGATATTTATTGTTAATAATGGATTACATTGTGCAACAAAATGAGTCCTGTTTTTAAAAATACTGTTCCTGGTGCGATACTAATGTAATTATGCGGGTAAATTTGTTTATTTCTAGTGCCTGTCAAATGCTAGTTTTTGCGCAGGGTTGTGTAAATATTTGGGTTTGCGTTGACCTGTAAAAATAATACAATGTTAAATAGTGTAAGTGTCAGTGAATCTGCAGGCCAGTATGTTTGCTGTAAATCATGAAGAAAAATTTATTGACATGTTTGATATTTTTTTTTTTTTCGAGAGAAAGACAAATTCCTGAAGGCAGCATCACTTGACGAACAAAAAGAGAAGAAATGTGTTATTTCCCTAAAAAATGTGAGATTAGAGATGAACTCAGTTTACATACATTGATGCAAATTCTTTCATATATATATATTTTTAATGTACAACTCTAAAGGTATTTACATTTCTGTATTTTAATTGACTATGGTTTATTCTCACTGTAATTGACTGCACAACAGGATATTGATATTAGTGATTGTTAATGTGTATTATAATGACATTTGTTCTTGGTAATGTATGCACTTTAATTTCTTGCAGTGTTTAATTTCTTTTCACCCATTTTAAATTGTGAATGCAGGTTTGACAGAACCACTTGAAAATGTTGTAAAAAAGTTCTCTCAGCGGTATTCGGTATGTTCAAATGTTGTGCATTTTAATGCAATGTTTTAAATGTTCATAGTCATTGAAAATTTCAAATAAAGTATTAGCAGATGAAAGAATTGATTTGTCTGACTCCTTGTTGAAGGTCAACACAAAGTCAACACCGTTTGGTTTAAAGTTTGTATATATTTGTCATTTTTGGTTCACTAAATAAAACAAATGGGCAGTTGGACACTTCTTGACTGGCATGTCCAGGCTCACGTAGGTGTGTTCAGGCAAGTTGGAACTAAACTTTGGAGGACAATGGTACTTCACGACCTTGTTTTGAGACTCTTCTTTTAAAAAAAAAAAAAAAGGAGATGTTTTTGATAAATAGACACATTTCTTTGATAACTGTGTTCCTGACACCACTCTCAGTATTTTTTTTTTCAGTTTGTTTATAATCTATGAACAATTGTATTGTTTTTTGTATTGTCAGTTGTATAGTGCCTGAGTTTTAATGGACCTGTGTTGCCAATACTAATAAAAGAAGGAAGTTGACGCTTGGAAAGACTTTTATTTTTTAAAGTAAGCAGTGGAATGCATTATTTTTTTTATTATGTGCAATAAAATAATCAAAAAATTGATGGGGCTTTTATTTTATAAATGCTCGACCATCACTCTGACTACTTCCTGTGGAAGTTGAAACGTCAGTGAGTGTCAGCGGCAGCGTGATTCACGTTTGAGAAACTAACTGCACGCAACCAGAAGTTTTACTATCAGGCACCTATTTATATCAAAATGTACATGCAGCAAACTGAAGACATCGAGACGAGCATTTAGTGTTGAAATATTTTAAAGTGGATTAAGTACATGTAACGTTAGAGACACCGCGACGCTTAACGCGCGAAACCAGATGTGAGTGTTTCTGAAATGATCTAACGTTACTAGACTTTCAGATCTGATGGAGACGAAGGAAAAGAGCCGTAAACCTCCAAATAAGACTCCACAGTCTGAAGGAGATCAGGAGGATCAACCCTGTCCTGATGTAAGTATTAGACATCAGCAACAGCAGTAACTTCACTTAGGGACTGTCAGTATCGCGTAGCTTTAGCTAACATCAATGTGTAACGTTATGTCAAAAACGAAAAGCGGCTTTTTAGCACCAGAGGGATAAAACTCTTACTTTTATATAATTTTGTTTAAAGTCAGTTCTGAAAGTGAACAGATAACGTTATATCAAATTATTTAGGGTGTTGGCGGGGTCTTAAAATATCTTAAATCTTAAGAACCGTAAAAGTCTTAAATTTACTGAAATATTGTGTTGTAGGTCGTAAATCTTTTAAAACAGGTTTTCATTTTCCTTTTTTCATGTATAGCTACCCATTAACACCTTTACAATCACCAACAATCGATCTCAAAAAAACTTTTTATTTAGGTAATCTTTAACTCTATTTACCATAATTAATTATTTTCCTCATAATAATATTTGTTTAAACGTTCCCCATCTGAGGACGGTTGTGCATGCAGTTTATTAGTTTATTATAGTTTTTAAAACATTTGTTCATTTTTTTTTTTTTTGGAAAGTTTACACTGAAAAAAGTGTATGTTTACAACTAGAACTTGCTTGTTTTGACATAATATTAAAAATTTATATTTAAAATATTTTTATTTGTTATTTTAATAAATTATAATAGTATTATTAAATATAGTTAATTTTAACAAAAATTGTCAGAGCAAATATAAATATTTTCCATCTGGGCCATTTTAAAAAGTCGTTGGTGTTTAGTCCTGTATAAGCCTAAAATTAAAAAGTCTTAAATTTAACTTGCAAACCTGCAAAAACCCTACAGATAATCAATATTACAGATCATAAACTTACTTGGTAGATGACACAATTGGTTATAAGTGTTATAAATGCACCAGTAAGACATAAAGTCGTACATTTTCTCGCTTACATTATTGGACCGTAAGAAAGAAAATCATTACATGTCAACTTCTTGCATTAATGACTAAATTGTTTGTAATTGGAGAAACATTCCCATTCTCGCCTTACATTTACATGATTTGCCTCTGTCCAATTTTGACCACTTTTCTGGTGAGGCTTTATTAATATAGGTTATGCTAGCAAGATGTAGTTTGTTGATGTTGACGTTGTTGATATAACTAATATCTGTAGAGGCATAAATTATTTATTATTTTACAACATTGAGGGAAAAATCTTTATCTAATAGAATGAGACAACAACACTAAACAATGCTGTTGTTTTTTTTATTTCTCTTTTAGACTTCCTGTGAAAAAAATGAAGATCAGGAGCCTTCCTCACCAAAACAGGGAGAGTTCAGTGATCCGGTGTATAAAGAGATTGCATTGGCAAATGGTGCCATCAACCGAATGAACAGAGAAGAGTTGCGTGCGAAATGCACAGAGCTGAAACTTGACACACGGTAATAAGAGCTATTTGTTTTATATAGTTGCTTTACCTGATGCCGTATTAGGGTCAACGTGTTTTTCAACCACACATTAGAATGTGTCTTCTTTACTTTATTATTTTATGCGCAAAAAACTGTGCCAATCATACATTATTGTCCTGATTTATAGAAGACCACTGAAGTGTCACTCAGTGTAGTGTCATTCAGTGCAACTATGGTTTATACTCTAAAAAGTCTTGTTGAGCATATTTAGAACAAGAATTGCTTGATGCCATATTAAAAGACTATATTTAATAGTTGCAATGCAGCCACAAAATATTAAGCAATTTTCATTTTAAGTCGTTGTACCACTTGATTTTACTCATTTGTCAGCAAAAAGCTTTTAATCAATTAAAATGTAATACAATTGAATATGATGACTTTTATATAGTTCTAATTACAAATCAGAATTAATATGGTAACTTGTTTTTACATTAATTTATTTGTTAAGTTTTTAGTGATAAAAAACATTTTTATTTTACCCATATTTTCCACACGGCGACATTAAAGTAGGCATTTTAATTGCATTTGATTTACTTTCTATGAACGTGAAATGGTTTCTTATTTGTAACGCATTCACTCATACAGTTTGTCTTTACTTTGCCTTTTTAGTGGAGTTAATGATGTCCTAAGGAAGCGCCTCAAAAGCTACTACAAAAAGCAGAAGTTGATGCATTCACCTGCTGCAGAAGGGAACAGTGACATGTACTTTGACTACATCTGTGTGGTGGATTTTGAAGCAACATGCGAAGAGAATAACCCACCAGATTACCTCCATGAAATCATTGAGTTCCCCATGGTGTTGATCGACACACACACACTGGAGATTGTGAGTTGGTGAGGGAGCGGTCTGGCAACCTTGTGCATGATTCTTGCCAGGCAAAAATGATTCCATAAAGTGTAGTCTAGTAATTTCTGATTTCAAAGCATTTCTTCAAGTGTATTTTTGTTAGGAATATGTTCAAATATGTTGTGTTCGAATCTCATTCTTGTCATTGCAGGTAGACTCGTTTCAGGAGTATGTGAAGCCAGTGCTGCACCCACAGCTCTCTGAGTTTTGTGTAAAACTTACCGGAATAACGCAGGCAAGATTTAACAAACTGTGTATTTAGTTAAGTGGTAATTTAATTTGCATACAATTAAATATACAATGGCGACGCAGTGGCGCAGTAGGTAGTGCTGTCGCCTCGCACCAAGTAGGTTGCTGATTCAAGCCTCGGCTGGGTCAGTTGGCATTTCTGTGTGGAGTTCACATGTTCTCCCTGCATTCGCGTGGGTTTCCTCCGGGTGCTCCGGTTTCCCCCACATTCTAAAGACATGCGGTACAGGTGAATTGGGTTGGCTAAATTGTCCCTAGTGTATGAGTGTGAATAAGTCTGTATGGATGTTTCCCTGAGATGGGTTGCAGCTGGAAGGGCATCCGCTGTGTAAAACGCATGCTGGATAAGTTGGCGGTTCATTCCGCTGTGGCGACCCCGGATTAATAAAGGGACTAAGCCAAAAAGAAAATGAATGAATAAATATACAATTTTATACACAAGTTTGGGATCAGCTCAATTCAATTCCTGTTTATTTCTATCATGCTTTTACAATGTAGATTGTTTCAAAGTAGCTTAACATAGATTTTCCAGTGAATTGAAAATGTATCAGTCCGGTTTTTAGAGTTGAAGTGCAGTTTAGTTTATTTCAGTTCAGTGTGGATTCAATTTCACTACTGAAAGTCCAATCACTGAAGAGCAAATCCATCGATGCGCAGTTCCACAAGTCCCAGACCAAGCAAGCTAGTGGCAACAGTACATTTGATGCATTCAAAAAAATCTCTAAATGTTTTGGAATATATTAAAATAGAAACTGTCACTTTAAACTACTTATAGTTCATGAATTGTTATTAGTCTATTTTAATCAAATAAATGCTTCCTTATAGAGAAATTAGAGACATTAGAGAAATTGTAACAATTACACTAGGGCTGCTTGATATTGCAAAAGTGTGACATTGTGATATTTTATTTTTCTGCGATAAGCATTGTGGTATAGGATATTCTCATAAGGTAATTTAAATAGCACTATTTGATGGTTCTCTAAGAAGTCTAACAGTATTCAGATTCAGAAATTGAATAATAACGCTTTTCTTACTTTGCTTTGTCTTGTTTATAGTCCAAATATCTAAAAGTTCTTAATTTAAGTAAAAAATTATGTTTTGTTTTTAACTTATTTTTATTTTTCAAGTTTTTCCACAAAACAAACTAAACTATCTGTCAGTGCGGCAAGTAAAATGATTTTGTTTTTTGCTTTATAATGTAAATATTTGGACTAGAGATAAGACAAAAATTCTAAGTAAGAAAAACCTTTTTTTAGTTCCTAGCTCCTTCTCAGCTTTAATTTAGACTCAACATTGCATATCTTGCAATGCGACTTTTGCGGATCCACACATTGGGATGTTAGGATGTCAGTGCTGAAACGATATATTGTGCAGCACTAAATTATACAGACCACAAACCTCTGAGTAGTACATGATTTTCATGCTTTTCATATAGATTTGTCTTATTTTAGTATTATATTATTATGTCTTTACAGTATATAGTTTTATCTTAATGTTGAATGGAAGGCAATAGCTCAAACTTTAATATCTTATTCTCAATTATTTTCCAGGAAATGGTGGATGAGGCAAAAACATTCCATCAAGTTTTAAAGCGAGCAATTTCTTGGCTTCAGGAAAAAGAACTGGGCACAAAATACAAATATATGTTTTTGACAGACGGGTGAGGATGAAACTGACATTTTAATCTCTATTACAAATAAATGCACAACAGAAATGCAAGCAAAGTTAAGAGCAAAGTGTCACCAGAAAATGTTGTATTAATGCTAAAAATCTTATTTTATTTATATGTTAATTTGTTTGTTGTTTTTAATTGTATATTTATTAATGAAATGTTCTTGCCATAAAAATTGTTGCCAACATGGCATTAAAATAAAATTTCATCATCATCATTAAATGCACAACGAAATTTACCAAACAGCTCACTACTAGTCTTGTCTGTGCAGGTCTTGGGACATGGGGAAATTTCTTCATACACAGTGCAAACTGAGTCGCATCAGATACCCACAGTTTGCCAGAAAATGGATCAATATCAGAAAGTCTTATGGGAATTTTTATAAGGTTTGTTTTCCTTTTTACTACATCGCATGGTAATAGAAGAATAGGCCTGTTTACACCTGGTGTTTTTCATTGATCTGATCACAAGAGGGCGACACTAAACCAATCTATATGGGGTCTAAGGCCCCGTTTACACTAGTGCGTTTTAGTTTTAAAACGGCGTTTTAGAATGAAAACGATCCGCGTCCACACTCGCGTTTTACCCAGCGTTTCTGAACAGCTCTCCGTCCACACCAAAACGCTGAAAACGCACATCACGTGACCACACACACACACTTTGGCAATCGCTGGAGCCCATCTACCCTGATGAGAGCTCTGCTAGTCGGACTTCTCATCAAGCATCTCCCGCTGGATCTAATCTCACTATATTTATTAAACGTGATATTTCATTCATCTTGTTGTCTTTATCTAACGACATATTCCCTGACTTTGGTCATTGGAATCTATTACTTGTTCTCAGGTAACGTGTTTTGGCTGAGCGCAAAGATAAGTTAATGATTAATGTAAGCACGTAGCCTACATTCTGTATATTGACTGATCGCTTGCCTTTATTTCCTATAATGTATAAACTTATTGTATGTTATACTTTTATAATGGCCATTATCGATTATTAAAACTGATATTCAGCAAAAGAGAGGGTGTGTTTCGTATTTTCACTGAAATTGAAAGGAGACAGTTGTTATCGGCTCCGTTTTGTTATAAATATGCACACAGTGAAGATGACGCTCATGCAGCACGACGCCTCAACATTTCTGCTGTCTGTTTAGTTGTTAATATTAAAATAAAAATAGGCAGTTCCTTATATCAAGTTTACATTTTATTGTTGAGAAAGTGAAACAACGTAGCCAGGGTGATGTGAATGAAGTTATAAAGTACACTGTTCCCTGTGAAGATTGACGCGTGTCCTCGGTATGTTTTCCATATCAAACTGAGAAGAAGAGATGCAGCCTTGATCAAACTTGCGAAGTCTGAACTTACACAGAGAAGATTCAGGACTGAACTGTGTGTTAGGCTACTTAATATTGAGGAAAAGCCCCAATCAGAGAGGCGAATGTCTGCAGCCCCGCCTCCATTTTCAGATGTCTCCGTCTTTCCCCATCCACACTGAGACGGAGCAGCAGCGTTTTAGAATGAAAACGGCCTCTCCAGCGTTTTCGAAACTCTCCGTTTTCGGCGCTCGAGAACTCCGGCGTAGTGTGGACGGATGGCGTAACCGTAGCAAAACTTATGCGTTTTCAAACTAAAACGCACTAGTGTAAACGGGGCCTAAAACATCAGCTTGTCCATTGTCATGCAATTCCAGACATACACTATCTGACAAAAATCTTGTCGTCTAAGTTTTAGGAACAACAAATATTATCTTGGCTTCTAGTTGATCATTTGGTATCAGATGTGGCTTGAATGAAAAATTATTTACCAAATTTACCAAAATTAAATATGATTATACCTTTTTGATTTTCAATTATTTAATTAGGACAGTAAGATCTGACTTTGCTTAGACAAAAATCTTGTCACTCAACAGAAATAATGTACAGTATAGAATATAAAGTCATGTTGCAGTGGAAAATAATGAATATTGTATTGTATTGAATATTGTGTGGACTGCATCCATACAGCTCTGCAATGACTCAGATAACATTAGTAGAGTCATCTGGAATGCCAAAGAAAACGTTCTTGCAGGACTCCCAGAGTTCATCAAGATTCTTTGTATTCATCTTCAATGCCTGCTTCATCTTACCCCAGATATGCTCAATAATGTTCATGACTGGTGACTGGACTGGCCAATCCTGGAGCACCTTGACCTTATTTGGTTTTAGGAACTTTGATGTGGAGTCTGAAGTATGAGAAGAAGTGCTATCCTGCTGAAGAATTTGCCCTCTCCTGTGGTTTGTAATGTGAAGAGCAGCACAAATGTCTTGATACATCAGGCTGTTGATGTTGCCATCCACTCTGCAGATCTCTCACATGCACCCATACTGACTGTGACCCCAAACCATGATTTTTCCTTCACCAAACTTGACTGATTGCTGTATGAATCTTCGGTCCATGCAGGTTCCAATAGATCTTCTGCAGTATTTGTGATGCACCTCAACAGGCGATTCATAGGAAAAATTGACCTTCTGCCTCTTTTTCAAATGATCAACTAAAGTCAAGTTATTATTGTTTGCTTTTATAACTGGGATCGACAAGACTTTTGTCAGTCAGTGTAGTCAAAAAACATCTGATCTGCTTTCATCGTGTAGACACTTCTATGGTTCAATGTGTTTGATTGACCTTATTCTCAAACATTAAATTGTTCAAGCTAAATTTGCAAAAAGCACATTTTCTTTGCCATTCCTGATTGTAACACAAGCACAAAGCAATTTGCGTCTATCAAAGCAGAAATGTTGCTTCTCTCTATATTGCGTTTTGTTGTGTCCTTTCATATTCCTATTCTACAATATTATACTGAAAGTGGACAAAATTGACAGAAAAAAACCCAAAAACATTTGTCAACAACAATCCCTTGTCTACCTGTGATCCCACTGACCAAAATGCATCAAGGACCAAGTAATTTTAACATCTAAATTGTATGAATGATATGAAAAATGAAAGTTGAAAAATATAATATTCAGTGTATGTTCTGAATCTCTCTCAGGTTCCTCGTACTCAGACGAAACTGATCTGCATGCTGGAGAATCTGGGGATGGAGTATGATGGACGTCCGCACTGTGGTCTAGATGACTCACGCAACATTGCCAGAATCGCCATCCACATGCTGAAGGACGGCTGTCAGCTGAGGGTGAATGAGTGCTTGCATTCAGGAGAACCGCGGAGCGTGCCTATCTCTGCCCCTATTGAAGGAGCACCAGCACCTCAGCCCCCCAAAAAACGAGACTAGAAAGACTCTTTGCCAAAAAAATAACAACAAATATGAAAACCTGCCATGTTGTGGAAAAATGATCTAGATTAATAAATATTGAAATATTTGCTGAGAGAATTGTACATCATAACAGATGATGAAGCTTCACCATTACAGCAAATTGGTTTCATGTACTGTATTTGGAACTTGCTCCTGAGAAACATACACTGCAGGAAGTGTTTATTTCCAGCCTGATGGGTAATTAGTAATTGTTGTATTTTTTAAAATCCCTATTGCACATACATTTTGCAGCTCTGCTCTACATGTATTATTTTGCCAATAAACTTTTTAGTGATGGTGAGATTGTACAATAGTATTGTTATTATTAATGTTATCAATTTTACAAGAGAAGAGATGTAACAATTATATATTATTTTAATTCCCGTAATCTTTATATTTGCTGGTGCATTACGTTGTGCTTATGTATTCAGGTACTTTACCCTTTTTGTCAAAGTTTAGATCTGTTTTGGTTATGCAATGAGATTTGTCAACACAAAGTTCACAGCTTCTGGCATCCATATCTAATTTCCCAAGGCCATGAAATAACCTTGATAGGAAAGCTGAGCATGAATCACAACCATTCTAATAGACTGAAGTCCTTTTTAATGTTATTGGTGTATGTAAATACATAAATTATATAATAGGAGAGTATGTTGCTATTTCTGTTTGTTTAATTAGAATGATGCACTCACTTATCAACAGTAATGCAGCTTTGCATGTTGTCCAGCAGAGGGCGTCAGATAACTTCTGGAAATAAACATAAACACCACCAAGCCCACTAATAAAGTCAACAAGGAGACAGGAGGGCTTTCCCCCAAATAAGGTTGTTTCTTTACTTATACTTTTATTTATATCAAATATTTGCTACAATATGCTATTTATTTATAATATTTTGTTTCGGTTTGTTTGTGCAAAGACTAAAGTGAATGCAAGCGTGATCCAGCTGTATCTCTTCATGTGGTGTGTTCTAGAAGCGTGCTGTTATTTACATTGGTCGACGCTCGGTGCTATAAACATGATGTGATTTACTGTTGGTTAAACCAAAACAACCGAAATGAGATTACCTTCACACCCCATCTTTAGTGCACGCGACACTGCTCAAAACCGCTGTCAACACGCGACGCCTCTGTCGTCATCATCCAGCTGACCAATCAATACCTTGTTTTAGCCAAGCGTCGCGTTTCGGTCGGCGTAAAGAAGGTGGGGCTTTGACGCAGTGTTGCTCCTGTGAGCGTTCACTGCTGGCTGCATGCGCAGAGAAGAGGCGGAGACACACAGGGAAAGACCACAGCAACCAAACACTGCTCCTCTTTCATTCTTACTGGATATGTCTTAGTTTTGTTTTCTCTCATGTGGTATCAAAGGACGCGCTGGCGGAACCGCCGGCCACACGGACTGGGTTGAGGTGACTTTAGATGCGCGCGTGTGGTTTTTATCTTGCGGTCGATGGCGCAGATAAAGAGGATGCGTGAAAGAACTCAGCCCAGCCCAGTTTTCTTCAATGCGATTGAACGGAGCTACACATTTTCGGATGAAGATGAAGTCAGCATGGTCTAAATGTTGGTTTCATCTGGACTGTTTTGCAGAGAACCTGAGTCGATGAAGCAAGTGAACGCAGCACTATGCTGATGATTGAGCACTGTGCTCAATGAGAGCTAGAAGGAGCACAGCTTCAATACGATGGCTGAGGAGACTAACCTAAAGACAGCTAGACTATGGAGGGATGCTGCTCTGCGCTCCAGGAAGCTGAGGAGCAATCTGAGACAACTGACTCTCAGCACCAAAAACAGCCAGAAGATTACATTACCCGAGGATATAAAGGAAATAGAGGTGCTCAATCTGGGCAACAACTCCCTTCAGGAGCTTCCAGAGGGACTGGGCTCAACCCTGACTAAGCTTCGCATCCTCATCCTTCGCAGGAATAAGTTTGCCATCGTTCCCTCTGCAGTATTTCAACTTAGTCAGCTGGTTGAGTTGGATATCAGTCACAACTGCTTGAACCACTTTTCAGAAGACATCGATCTTCTCAAGGGGCTTAAAAAGTTGTGCTTCAGTCATAACAAAATACAATATTTGCCATCGCAGATTGGGACTTTGCAAAGTCTGGAGGAGCTTGACATCAGCTTCAATGAGCTGCATGATTTCCCCAGGTCTTTTTCACAGCTCAGGAAGCTCAGAACACTTGATGTGGATCATAACAAGCTACAGCGCTTCCCTTCAGAAATCCTTGCCCTCAGTGATCTTGAGGAGCTTGACTGCTCTGGAAATAAACTAGAGGGTCTTCCGGGGAACATCATGATGCTTCAATCGATTAAAATCTTGTGGCTCAGCAGTACCCATCTTTTGTCCTTACCTGAAACGTTTTGCGAGCTGCAGAACTTGGAGAGCCTCATGCTCGATAATAATTTCCTCACCAGACTGCCACAATCATTCGGGAAACTGCAGAAGCTGAAAATGCTGAATCTCTCCTCAAACTCTTTTGAAGATTTTCCTCAGGTTATTATCAAGCTCACTAGGTTGGAGGAGTTGTATTTAAGCCGGAATAAACTAACGTTCCTCCCTGAGGAGGTAGGACAGCTGTGCAATCTTGCTAATTTGTGGTTGGACAATAATAGCATAACATTTCTCCCAGACTCCATTGTAGAGCTTGGGAAATTGGAGGAGCTGGTTTTACAGGGTAACCAAATCGCCATACTCCCAGACAATTTTGGTAAACTTGCCAAAGTCAACATTTGGAAGGTGAAGGATAATCCACTCATTCAGCCTCCGTATGAAGTGTGCATGAAAGGGATCCCCTATATAGCTGCCTATCAGAAGGAGCTTGCGCACTCCCAACCTGCTATAAAACCCAGACTCAAACTGGTTTTGATGGGCCAGGGAAATGCAGGGAAAACCACACTCAGGCAGTGTATTGTCAGCAAACAATCAGACACCAAGATGGCGATTGGATGTAGGGGTATTGACGTGACAAACTGGGTCGCAGATGCAAAACGAAGTCTTACGTTTATTGTATATGATTTGTCCGGTAAGCAGAACTATGATCTTATTAAACCCTTTTTCCTCTCGCCTGGAGCACTTTATGTTTTGGTGGTGAACCTGAAATTGTATACATCAAAGAGCTTCTACTCTCATGTCGGCAGCTTCCTCCACCTGCTCAGTGCCAAGGTGCCACACGCAGTTGTGTGCATCGTAGGGACCCACAGTGACTTGTGTGAAGAGGTTGAGGTTGAAGAAAAGTGCCTGGATATTCATAGGCAGATTTCATTTCAGGAAAAAATGGACATTGATTGCCTACATGTGCTCGCCCTGCAGGTAGATGAAGCCCTTGAGCAAGGTTATGATGTTCGGACTTCCACCCCCCATGTTCTTTTTTATGGGGTCACAGATAAAAACTTGAGACGTAAAAAGTCTCAGTTGCAATATATGCTCAACAATCGCCTACAAATCCTGTCTCCGGTGATTTGTGTCAGCTGCGTTGCGGCACAAAGGAACATCCAGCATTTAAAAGAGAAACTCATGTCTGTCGCCGACCACAGGGAGATTTTTCCCAATCTTCACAGAGTCCTGCCAAAGTCATGGCAGATGCTTGAGGAGCTGCATTTTAAGCCACAGGATTTATGGCTTTCCTGGTGGGATTCTGCCAGGTTGGGCCTTCAAGCTGGGCTGACAGAAGACCGCCTGCAAAGTGCGCTCTCTTACCTGCATGAGAGTGGTAAACTACTGTACTTTGAAGACAGCACGACGTTGAAGGAATATGTCTTCCACAATCTACCCCGTTTCATCGCCATCTTGAATGTGTTTTTCCAGAGAGACCTACCTGCAATGCTTGAGAAACTACAGGCTGAAGGAGATGATGGAGATAACGCGGTGTCTACTCAGATGCACAGTCATGTGGAGGGTTTTCTGTCACACGGTCTGCTGCCGTCAAATGTCATCCGCTTGCTGCTTAAACCCCTGGTGCAGACACAGCAGGACTTGCACCTGATCATGGAATTGCTGGAAAAGATGGGTGTTTGCTACTGTGTCAACAAACCTCGCTGCAAGCCTCTTAATGGGGCCACCGTCTGGTATAAGTTTCCCAGTCAGGACATCAACGAGGAGCCCAAACCTGAGGCATCGGGCAGTGGGGGCTTATCGATCCCTGGTCAGTTTTTCTCAGTTGAGCAGCTGCAGATTGAATACAGGTTTCCTTTCTTCACCCCTCTTGGACTTTTTGCACGGTTTAGCGTGCAAATCAACAGCCACGTCGTGCAACGGTCTGATGGAAAGCATCACATCTTTGCCTACCGAGGTAAAGTGCCTGTGACTGTGAGTTACCGGTCCTCTCGGAGCAGATTCCAGCCTGAGATCCTCTCCATATCCAGCCATGCATCCTTGCCAAATATCTGGACAGCTTGGCAAGCCATTATTCCCCTAGTGGAAGAGTTAAACGTTCTTCTGCAGGAATGGCCTGGCCTTCACTACTCTGTGCATGTCCTGTGTTCCAAGTGCCTGAAGAGAGGGTCCCCCTATCCTCATTCCTTTCCAGGTTAGTGTTTTGCTATTTTCTTTGGGAGTCTGTTTGATTTATGTGACTTGTGCCTATTGAAATTTAACAACCCTGTCTTGTTACAGTCACATACTTGCATTCATGTTACACAATTATCCAGACAAGAATGATTCATTGTCTTCTTTGAAACACAAATGAGATATATTTTAAAGGTTGTTTGAATTATTTTAGGCTATTGAATTAAAGTTAATGAGTTCTCATTTACTTTTATTGTGTGGACAACAGAAGCATTTATCTTGTTGTCGTTTATGTGTCACAGAATATGCATACAGATCTAGAATGACATGGGCGTGTGTAAATCTAAAAAGATTTTGAGTGATTTTATTGTTTTGACTGGATATTGAACAGGATGTTATGATGGAAAATAAGTCATTAACCAGATATTTTCACACATTCACCGTATATGGCTTGAGACTTATTAAATGGATGTAGTTTAACACTCATATGTAGTCATAAATCTCTCATGCATGTGTGCCAGAGCAAATAAAGAGTCAAATTTATTCTTCTGTGTTGAATCAGGCTATCTTTGCAGCACTTTCACCATGGAGGCGCATGTCTGGTTTGAATGCCAAGTAAACACTGATACAATAAAGGATGAATCAGCATGAAATGAAGTCATTTTGGGATGGATCTAGCCTGAACAAAGAGTGAGAATCCCTGGCCATGACAAGGGAGGTGGAAGGGGGGGGGGGTCTCACTGGGGTTTGAAGCCACACCTAGAAACACAAATTAGCTTGAGCTGTCTGCTGTGCT